ATCGCCGCAGGGCGGCGCGGTCACGTAGAGCCAGAGGTCCTCGGCCAGGAGGCGCGCGTGGAGCGCCGCGGTCGTCGCACAAGGCTTTCCGCAGCGCGCGCACGGCGAGCACCTCCGCGTGGCCGTCGCGCACGAGCGCCGGCGACGCCGGCCCGCCGACGCACTTGCAGCCCGACGCGACGCTCAGCACCTCGACGTCGTCGCCCGCGACGGCGGCGACGCCGGCGACGACGGTCCAGCAGCCGCCGTCCTTGACCCTCAGGCGCGCGTACGCCTCGAGGACCGCGGCCGCGACGCGCTCCTCCATCACGGCTCCTTGCGGAGGCGTTCCAGCTCCCGCTTCGCCGCGCGCGCCTGCACGAGCGCGACGATGGCCACCGTCAGGCCCGCGGCGCCGAGCAGCACGCCGACGACGCCGACGGCGAGGCCGGCGATGGCGAGGCCGCGGGTCGTCGCGTCGACGATCGGGGGCGCGGCACGCATGCAACGGGGGGCTTCGAACGCGTCGCACGAGCTACTCGATCGCGCTCTAGACGAGCTGTCGAGCCTCCATAAGAGATGGGTGCCTCTTCAACACGAGCTTGTTTGCTGCCGTGCGGAGCGCGTTCGTCGCAGCTTCCTTCGACTAGCGGCGCGCGTCGATGTCGAGGCGCGGCTGCAGGACCAGGCCCCGCACCGTCCGGTGCGACTCGACGACCGTGTCGAAGTCGCGGCGCTGCTGCTGGATGACAGAAGACCGCCGGTGGCGGGACTTCTTCCCCTTGCCCATGGTGGCGCTTGGTTACGGTGCCGAGAGAGGAGAACACGGAGTGACGTCGACGGAGTCACGCTCCGCGCCGCGCGGCGCGCGACCGCAACGTCGATGAACTCCGCGAGCTTGCCCTCCTCAAGCAATTCACCCGCCTCAATATACTGTCGACGACTCGTAGCCTAGGTCGGGACGCGTGCCCGACGGCGGCGCGCCCGAGCCCGGGCCCGGCGACGGGCCGACCGGGGGCGACGGGGTGACCGTGGCTGACAGGTTTCTTGTTGTTCACGTAGACGACGCAGTTGGCGTAGGAGACCGCGGGCGGCAGGAGCCCGTCGATCTTGGTAAGGAAGGCCCGGAGCCTTCGAACATAGCCGCAGCCGTCGAGGCGCAGCCCCCTGCCTCCTGCACATGAAAAAAGCTACAGCTACGAGGTCAATGTTCCTCACTTTCCAGATGGGCCTAGACCCTGGGGTCTTTAGTGCCAGCGAGAGGACCGCGAACCTCGTCGACATCAACCAAGCTAATAGACCTACTAGTAGTACGAGAACGGCCAACAGCGTCCGCCCTTATGAGCAATCGCCAGCGTCATGCTTGTAGGCCCCACAATAAGGCGCCGATCCAGCCCCAGGCTCCTCTCCCTCTTCAAGTTGAAGCTCAACAATCACTCGCCGATTGCCAGACGCTCTCGCATCCAAACACCGCTCTCCACACCGACAGCGCTGTCCTCGCGATGTCGCTGTTCACGAAGATCATCCGCAAGGAGATCCCCTCCTGCAAGGTCGCCGGCGGCGAGCTCTGGTACGCCTTCCTCGACATCAACCCGCGCCGCGCGGGCCACACGCTCGTCGTGCCC